GAAGCTTTTCTCCGTATGAAGGACCATAAATAAAGCAATTTAAACTGCGAAATACTTTCTCTGTATAATAGAGAGGACCATAAACTTCGCCGGTTAATAACTGCGACATATTTCCTCTGTACAATAGAAGGAACCAATAACTTCGCCGTTTAATAGCTGCGAAATATCTCCTTTGTATAATAGAAGGGACCATAACCTTCGCCGTTTAATAACTGCGAAATAGATCCTCTGCGTAATAGAAAGGACCAAAAACTTCGCCGTTTAATAACTGCGAAATGTTATCTCTGTATAGAAGAAAGGTCCGAAAACTTTGCAATTTAATAACTGCGAAATATTATCTCTGTTCATTGAAAGGGATCAAAATCTTCGCAGTTTAATATCTTCGAAATATTCTCTCTGCATAACGTAAGGGGCCATAACCTTCGCCGTACAATAACTGCGAAATAGATCCTCTGTATAATAGAAGGGACCAAAAACTTCGCCGTTTAATAGTGCGAAGTATTATCTCTGTATAAAAGAAAGGTCCGAAAACTTTGCAATTTAATAACTGCGAAATATTATCTCTGTTTATTGAAAGGGATCAAAATCTTCGCAGTTTAATATCTTCGAAATATTCTCTCTGCATAACGTAAGGGGCCATAACCTTCGCCGTATAATAACTGCGAAATATATCCTCTGTATAATAGAAGGGACCAAAAACTTCGCCGTTTAATAAGTGCGAAGTATTATCTCTGTATAAAAGAAAGGTCCGAAAACTTTGCAATTTAATTGCTGCGAAATATTATCTCTGTTTATTGAAAGGGATCAAAATCTTCGCAGTTTAATATCTTCGAAATATTCTCTCTGCATAACGTAAGGGGCCAAAAACTTCGCCGTTTCATAACTTCGAAATATATTGCCTCTGTATAATAGGAAGGACCAAAACCTTCGCCGTTAAATAACTGCAAAATATTTCCTCTCTATAATAGAAGGGACCAAAAACTTCGCCTTTTAATAACTTCGAAATATTTTCTCTGTATAATAGAAGGGACCAAAAACATCACCGTTTAATAACTGTGAAATATTCCCTCTGAATAATAGAAAAGACCAATAACTTCGTCGTTTCATAACTTCGAAATTATTCCTCGGTATAATAGAAAGGACCAAAAACTTCGCCGTTTAACTGACTGCGAAATGTTATTTCTGTATAAAGAAAGGTCCAAAAAATTCGCAAATTCATAACTGCAAAATATTATCTCTGTTTAATGAAAGGGACCAAAATCTTCGCAGTTAAATGTCTGCGCAATATTCTCTATGTATAGTGTAAGGGGCCAAAAACCTCGCCGTTTTATAACTGCGAGATATTTCTATGTAAGGCCCCCTGCGCCGAAGGAGTTTCACTCTGAAAACACATAAAATTTTTCCCGTCCACACTACGCTGGAAGAATAACCAGTAATTTTGGATTTGTTTTAAGAAAACTAGGTTAGGGAAATCACATGATTTTTTATTCGAAGAGCTCCATTTTCGAAATGTTTTCATAACGAAAAGTTGGCGTTTTCAAACTTCTTCGGTTTGAAGAGCGTTTTCGAAAAGCTCCGTTTTCTTGACGGATTCTGCAACCGCTATTTCAGAGGTATTTGAAAACGTAACAAAAATGCACCCTTCGTTTCAAAGTGGCTAGAAACTCAGGCAGAGAGACTTCCGTTGAGTGGCCAAACTGACACGCAAGTTTCCTCGCAAGTCAACTCACGGATACTTGTGACTAATTGCGTTTAGTGCACGTTAAAGGTGTACGGTAATCTTAAGGCCGCTTACTGTACCTCTCTGGGGCAGATCATTATGAATGCTTTAGATAATAATCTGCGAGCAGATATGTAGTCAGTTAATGACCATTGAAGGCAGCTGGTAGCAGCTTAATTAAGGCTCATAACTTTTGATGGATCGATAATACCATCTTCTATTAACTAGTGTTAAATTTCAAACATTTCCTCTGTCACAAACCCGTAGAACCTTGATGTAGTTGTTGTTGCCCTCCGATATTTATATCTTCAAACGTTACAGAAAGTTTTATCAAAAACCTTGTCATTATTCAATGTTAAAAAAATTGCGTTTCAAGAAGATGATCAGCGTAACTTGTTGAATGACTATGTTTCAGAGCGTTATATTAGCATACACTGTTATGAGAAGGTAGTATCCATCTGTAAAATATGGAACACAGCGTTAACTTCCAAAAAGAAAAGAAAGAAAAAAAATAGGCCTTCGTGGTTCACGTTCTCCATGCAACGCGGACATTTCAACTTGTTGTTTTGCAGAGGACTGCATATGTACCAATGCGAGCGCGCACGTACATAGCCATTGTATTGCTCACTAAAAACCTTTTTTTAGCGACATTTTTTTGACGTTGCATTTTTACATGCAGTTTTCTTGTAAATATACTTCATTTTTTTACCATGTAATGATAGTCTTCGTAACCCTGTCCGAATAAAGATTGTGCATAGAAAATATTCCCATTTATTAAACATGTTAAACGGCGAAGATTTTGGTCCCATCAAATATACAGACAAATTACTTCGCAGCTATTAAACGGTCCTTTCTATTATACAGAGGTCATATTTCGCAGTTATTGAACGGCGAAGTTTTGGTTCTTTCTGTTATACAGAGGAGATATTTCGAAGTTATTAGACGGCGAAGTTATTGGTCCCTTCTATTATACAGGGGAAACATTTCGCAGTTGTTAAACGGCGGAGTTTTTGGTCCTTTCTAGTATACAGAGGAAATATTTCGCAGTTATTAAACGGCGAAGTTTCTGCGGTCCTTTCTATTATACAGAGAGAATATTTTGCAGTTATTAAAGTGCGAAATCTATGGTCCTTTCTATTATACAGAGGAAATATTTCGCAGTTATTAAACTGGTTACATATGTAATTCATCGAGTCATATAATTTCAAAAAATATATTCTCTCTATAGAGTTCATTAAGTACAAAATTTGCATTTGTCAAACTACCGCTCGGTGGATATTATATTTATAAAAATTTTGCATTTACTTACTGCTCATGTTTCCCAACACGTTTATTGTTTTTATTCAGTGGAAGGGAAAAAACGGTAATGGCAAACGAATCCCCAAAACGGTAGAGACCACCAAAAATCACAATAGAGACACAAGGGTCTATAGTTAACAGCTTTTAAGCCATCGACTATAAGCCTTACCCTTTTTCTTGAACGGGGTACA